ATTGTGAAAAATTGTAAGAATAAAAGAAAGATAACAGGAAAATAAGAGCTGTAATTACATGTAAAATTGTTCATGCATTCAAGTGTAGATGAAGACAAAGTTGGTTTTTTACCTTGTTGGAAAATTGGGCTATAGCTGCTTACCTAAAACTTCATGCACATGTATGTGCTGTCAGTCAGTATCACGTTTTTATAGTCTGGCTGGAGTTGAGAGGAACTGAAGGGCAATTTCCAAAGCATATAACTATTGAACAGCAGAGTTTCAGTACGTGCAATCAGTTTTTTAGAGCATGTTACTCTATATATAGAACACATTTGCACAGATACATACCTAAGACTTCAGGGAAACCCTGCTTGCATTTCAAAATCTGGCTCCAAACCATGGAAGCACTAGAATTTCTTCTGGTAAAAATGTTCCTACATTATTCTCAGTAACATGAAAAAATTTAGAAGAATCTTCCTTGAGAGCCTGCCTTAGCCTGAAATTCTGGATCTAAAAGGATGTAATGTAAAAGGTGCAAGTGTGGTCAAAAAATTTGCAACCAGAAACATCTCCCTTGACATCCATGCATCTTAAAAAACAAGGCAGGAGCCTGGGGATCAAGATGCAGGGGATTTTTTAATTCTCATTACTCTGAGTGGGTGACTGCAGCATTTGTGGCATCTTTAGTATTAGAACACGAGCATATGTTTCCTCTCCCAATTTATGTGACTCAGTCCCTTAAAAGAAACCCATCCAAGTTCCTTTCTAGGCAGTTTTCTCAAAACTAAGGAAGCACATTATTACATGCCTATCTGTTATGTCTTGTAGCCACAAGTGAGCCAGGCTCTCACTGGTTTGAGTGGCATCTGAACGTGTGGGGCACTGCTGTCTTAGAAAGCAAAGCGTGTGAGAAGAAGATGGCAGTAAGAGTTGAACTGATTTGCCCCAGTCACCAAGAAGGCTTGATCCACTCAAGTTTTGGCACTGGGACCGAAGGCAGAAACTGCCAGTGATCTAGGAGGTTGAATATGATCTCTGACACCAGCGTTGTCTAGCTGGGAGCCATGGCTGTTTGGGCTTAAAGTCAGTATTGAAACATCTGGTACTGTGTATGACATATGAGAAGTACTTTCGCTTTTCACTTCTGTTGAGTCTGTATTTATAAAAATACTGAAGATCACTTTTCCTGGAGAAATGATAGACATAGGATCCAATTAGTGTATGGTTGAGAGTGTCACACATGGACAATGCATGCAAGTAGCTGTTAGAGTTCCTCCCATGGAGTAATGACTAGGAAGTTGTATAGATCTCCACTCTGACAGGCACCTTAAAGGCAATGGCTTTATAAATACAACTGGGATGTTCTTCCATTTCTCATGCTCCTGCTCAAGCTGTTGTTACAACTCCCAGTCATCTAAAGATCAAGTTGCCTATCAGTCTGACCCACCATGAGTTTATCGGCACCAAAGCTGCCAGACTTCACTGATTTTCTTGGCTGTTCCTTTATTTGAGGCTGGTAAAGTATTTTTACTAAGTCATTTTCAAGGAGTGAAGGATCTGGACTTAAGTTGCAATGAAGTATCTTGCACTTCATTTCAGACCACCCTTATAGTAGTTGACAAAGCATGGCAGCCCTGGAGCAACTCCTTGTTTTCAAAGCAGCATGACAGTGTTTTTTATGCTGAAACATCTTTGAAAAATTGCTAGATTTTTTCTTTGTAATCCAAATGAGGAAGAATTGGGGATTTTCTTCTGCTTTGAGGTATTCTGGTCTTTCACTGAAAACCTTACTTTGGGATTTGCTCTCTTTCCTACAAACAGGACAGGTAGAGAAGGAATCTGTGTATAGAGTTGGAAGACAGAATAATTTTTTTCTCTCCTTATCAAAATTAGGTTTTGTTCCTCACAAAGTAGATAAATTCTCTGAAAAATCTTGGTCAAAATAAACTGTGTTTGGCATCCCCTAGAAGCTGTCTTTTTTGTTTAAATCGATGTTGGATTTTAAACATAAACACTGAATTGAGGAAACCTCCCAGCTGGCTAGGTCCTGGAGTGACAAATTTTCTCTCCTTAATCAAAGTGTCACAGGAAGCAGAGGGGAAGCCTTGACTTATTCCTTACTTTGGTACTGAAAGGGGCTCTTCTGAAGATGAAGACGTGAATGTGCACATGAAAACAAGACATCACAGGGAGAGTGAATTTGCTGGCAGTGTATGGAAGGGAGCGCAGGAGTCTTCAGTCACTTTACAGCTTTCCTATGAGGTGCTTCCATTGGCAGAGAAAAGCGTGAAAGCACGTTCACACCTCCCACGGAGGTGACCCTTTAATTGAATATCACTGGGAAATGTGTCAGACGCAGTGAAAATAATCCCTGTGGGTGCAAACCCCCTTATGCACGTTGCCTTGGGATTGCATTTTTGCCTGTGAGGACTTAGCCATAGACAGTGTGTTTCACTAAAGGCATTCATGGTCTTTCTGCTGCTATTTAGAGGGAGCATCTTCATTTAACCTAGGTTCCTGTTCTACAGAGCAGAGAGCTGCTCCTTTTCCCTCTCTTAGTCCAGATTGTCCCTGCAGCTGTCCAGTAACAATGAAGGCAGCTTTTGCATGGGAAAGGAGATCTTTTGACCTTGGAATCCAGTTTTCCACTATTCCAGATTCAAACAGAGACAAAAAGCACTGAGGAGTGTACCATTTTGGCACTGGCAGAGTAAACTGGTATCATCTCTGAACAAACAAACTTGTTTCTTGCTCTTGCCTTGGCTCTTGCTCTTAGTTTGAAAATGCACCTGTAGCCTGTCAGCTCCCAACACTGAGTCCTTGTCTGCTGAGAAGACAGTAGCTGTGCTCAAACAGATAAATGACTTGGGGGAGAAAGATATTTTATGTGGAGGTAGTTGGTAAATAAGGTGGGCGATGAATCTTCCTCTGTGTGTAGGAGACCTCAGAATACCTGCCTAATTGTACTTTCCAAAAAGAGAGCATTTTGGAATCAGCTCTCTGGGCCCACTCTGCCCAGCAGGTTTTTTAAATTGGACACAAAAAGGCAGAGATGAGCAAAATGAGTAGAATTGCCTCTTCTCTGCTGATTTCCTCACCAGCCATTAGCTGTTTTCTCACTGACGCCTCCACAAAAAGTGGCAAGAGTGATCAGCATTTCAAGGCTGCTGCTGCTGCCAGCCCCCAAGCTGGGGAGGAGGAGAGCTCCTTCCTCCTCGCTCCGCAGAGCTGTTCTGTGTCAAGCCCAGTGACTCAGGCCTGAAATGGGCGGAAAATTTAGTCTTCTATAATAGCACAGAAATTGCAGGGTTAAAAAGGCATTGCTGTATAGCGTAGCTGGTGGCATATGGTGGGAATACTGTATGCAGCACATTCTGTGCCAGAAAATTATATATACCATATATGCAAGTCTTTGTGAACCCTATGCCATGTAGTGGATGGGAGGAGGAATTGGGGAAAGATGCAGAAGGGAGCAGGAAATTAGGAGGGTCTCATTTACATGGTGGACAGTGTTTTCATCTCTTATTGCCTGTGGTCTCTCTAATAGTGAATAAAGGACTGAATTAGATGAATGACTTTCTTTTTTTAAATATTGAGTTGCAGAATAAACCGTGCTCTCAGGAGCATGCAAGACATCCTTCCTTAATAAGTTGAGAAGGGTCTGCTGGCCCAGATAAATCTGTGCTGTGAGCATGCCTTGTGCTCATTTCAGAATGCATTCCTGAAGTCCTTGAATTCATTAAACCCTAATTAGCAATGAGCATTGATGATTAAAAAAATCTGTAATAATAGGCAGACAAGTGTATATAGAGCTGTGAAGGCACCTCTGGGTCTGTCCTACAATTAGCTTTTAGCCAGCTTGATTTTAAAATAATCCTTCTATTTTCTCTGACATCCTAACCTTGCCTCTTGCTTTAGCATTTGACGTCACAGCCTCCAAAGCTGTTGCCTGGAGTTTTGTGGGGGTTACCCTCTGCAATAGGTTGTGAGACTTACAGGAGAAACAAAAAGTAAAATCGGAAACAAACAGCAAAGTTAACATCCTGATGCAAAAATTGTACTATATCTGACTGTGTTGAGGGCAAGTATTTGGGTTACTCCTTGTCTGTTAAAAAGCTTTAATGAAAACAAAATGAAAACTGCTGTGAAAACCCCAGATCAATCATTCTTTGAGATAATGTCCCATGTAAATTACTAGTATCCTAACTGTAGTAATTGATGATGATACAGCAAAAGAAAAACAGCCAGAAAGACAGAATACCTTCCTGGTCTGGGACTGTTGACTTCAACCAGAACAGAATTGCCATCGTGGTTGGGACCTCTGAAAGATATAGTCAGAGTAGCCACTTCAAGCATCTGTGATTTTTGTCAGCTTCTGGAGGATTTAGCAAATAGCAATGAAGGGCTTTAATAAATGAATTTATGAGAAATGAAGTCTGTGCCCATGTCTAGCTTTAAGACCTTCTCTTTGAAAATGGTCCAGTGTGTGGTCCAAACCACTGTACAGCAGGTTTTCAGAAAAACAGAGGTAGCCATATACCTCTACCACCAATTAAAGCAGTTATAAACTCTCTTCTGCACCTTTTCACGT